GATAAATCTGGTTCTTGCTTTTTTACTGTTACATTGGCCTCTAAAAAGTTACAATTTTTTTTTAAATACAAGAATAAAAACAAACCATAACTCATTAGTGTTGAGCTGGAATCAACTCATAGCTGACCCATCAGCATAGATTTAGAGGCTGTGAATTACATGAGAAGAGACTGCCCATCTTTCTCCCACAGAGCAGCTAACGGATTTGAACAGGCCGCCTTCCATCTCATTACCCATTAGGCCACTGGAGCTCCCCATTACAAAATTATAGTTGTCATTTTGTAATAGTTATTGTACTGTAAACAAGAAGGTTCTAAGGAAGCCAAAGAAGTAGATTACTTTAGAGAGGAAATGAAACATACATAGGAGATTCTACAACATAATGCTAAAACAGGCCCCCACAAAGATGTAAATTTAAAGTCACTGGAAAAGTGACACAGGGATGTCATATTCTTCAAATTACAACATGCCGACCTTTCCAACTCACTAGCAGTCTTCGTAGGGTATTGACAACTTGATTTCAGAGCTGGGGAAGAACCTGAAGATCCTCAGTTCAATGCACTTCTCAGAGAGGATGACATAACTGAGGCATGGAGTGAGGAGTCACTTCGTCTTGTCACCAGTATCTTACTACTGGGTTGCCAGACTTGGATTTCCATGTTGTTGCTTCCTGTACCTGGAGCACTGGTGGTGCAAATGGTAAGGTGTCTGGGTGCTCACTACAAGGAATCAACTCCTAGGCAACTGCTCCCCTCCGTTTCATGCACGTATAAATAACTACTCAAAGAAATCTTTGTCTTCTATAGTTTAAGAGCCCTGACAGCCAGAGCTGTACCTTGTTTATTATTATATTCCCCAGAGCACAGTTGGACATCATCCCACTCTCTAAACACTCAATGCCTGAACAACTCAAATGTTTTTCAAATCAATCACTGAAGATATCCAGCAGTTCAGATTCAATTAGATGCTCTAACTACATACATGGACGGTGTATTCTCATTGGTATCCTGGGATTCCCTAACTACTCTTTTCATATTTCAAGAACTCACGTGACAATCATATAGTATCATTTTCATGTTTGCTATTTTTAAGACCGTACCATTTTAATAATTACGTTCTCAAGACTCTTGATATGTTTGCCAAAGATAATGAGCTTTGGATCTATTTTGCAATAATAAGGTATTTACTGGAGCCCATGGTTGGTGTCAGTGATTGAGATGCTGTGTATAGAAAGGTTTTAAGTTCAAGTGCACCCTGAGATGCCATGGAATAAAGGATTGGCAATATGTCTGTGAATAACTGGTCACTGAAAACCCTATTACAAAGCACAGTTCTAGTCTAAAACACATTGGGTAGTATAGGTTAGGGTTGGCTTGATGGTAACTGGTATACTGGCAAGTTAGTTACGACATCTGGGATATACAATCTTGCTTAATAACAATCTGTCCACAGAAATTTCATTAGCCTTAGCTCAGACACCAAAGAGCATATTCATGATGAGCCTATCAGAGTTGACCCTCAGCGGGTTTTCAGAGGCAGTAAAAAGCAAAGGAGCCTGTTCATTTTTCTTCCTCGGAGCAGCTTGTGGATTTAAGATAGTTGTTGTTGAGTAGAGTTAGAACTCACTCGTAGCTGACAAGCCACTGGGCTAGCAGCACAGATGTTTAACTCTATCTAGGGTCTATTATAGGTGCAAACGAAGTCAGGTAAAAGCACTGTCCTGTAACCCAATCTTTAGAAATATAGTTAACAAGTATTTGGCACATTCAGACTAATTTGGTGGGAAAATAGGGGTAGGGTAGGTGATTTTAATACTTCTAGATATTTGGTTCGGCAGTAGTCAGAACAGAGCAGGGCAACACTGCATGGTTCAAAATTGGGAAGGGTGTATGTCAGGGATGTGTCCTATCTCCATACCTTTTCAACCTGTATGCAGA